ACTTTTCTACTTTTTTTTCCCTACACCTTCCACTTCAGTCATGTGGAGTCAGTCTTTTCCTTCATTTGCCTGTTCGAAAAACCAGGGAACCTGGGACAGATGGAAGAGTAAGACATGTTCAGGCAAAGAAACAGCTGTGGCAGAGCAGGGAACTGGAAAAAGGCATAAGAGGAAGGGGCTGGGGAAGGAAAAGCTCCAGGAAATGAGCAGGAGCAAATTTAGCTCGTACCATACTTACAGTAGGTTTTCCTCCAATATATTCAGTTGCTGCCAGCACTCACAAGCTCTTTTTTCTACACTTTCTGCTTTCCTTCCTATGCTGGCAGGAGCCTTTTATTCACCCCTCTGGATGGCTCTCAACTAAACAATTTCTCCCACCTCATCGGCTTGTGCGGTACCCTAACAGGGATGCATTCTATACAACCTCATCTCCTTACCTTCACACAGGGAATTATCAAACCAGACTGTGGCTTGATGCTGCAAATCTGAGACTGCTGCAAAGTGGAGAAATGTATTATACATAGCAGAGATACCTATTCCATCCTCTTAAGGTACCTAAAGCAGTACAGTTATCTGAGAATGCTCTGCTGCCTATATTGTAATCAAAAGTATCAGTCCAACAAGTCCATTGGAGCAGTCCTTTTTCATGAGATACCAAGCCTTTTTGATACCCATCTGAAAGTTTATTTACCTTTCTTATTGCACCTGGTATCCCAAACCATGATGTTTCCATCTCTCCCTCCAGTACAGAAAACAGCTGAAAGGAAAAAAAAAAAAAAAAAAAAAAAAAAAAAAAAAAGGTGTTATTAGCTTCTAAAAGCATTCACTTAAGTAACTGAATGCAGTACAATGCCATCTGGGTACCTCTGGCTCTTCTCCCAATGCTTGAATTGCCAGTCCTAGAAACACAAAACTCAGGCCATTGTTTTGCCATGCTTTTTGACTTGTTTCCTTACTCTTACTATTCTTTTCTTGCTCTCTCTTACTAGAGAAACCAGCTTATGGAAAGCATATTCACACACTTGGGTATGGAACCTGACATCCTATCTTATCCCAAGATAAGAAATACGCAGATTTTAGCATCAGGACACCATCAAGTTCCAGCAAGACAGTTTTGCTTTCCTGGCTGGGTCAGTGCTCAGTCCTGTGCTATTTCTACCTGTCAGTTTCCAAAGCCCTTTTTAAGCCCTTTACTTTGCCAGGGGGAAAGAAGGAAAAAAACAGACAACAGGGAATATCAACATTTACCTTTCTCAAATCTGGAAAAAGCAACTGACTTGAGGCTACACTGGTGACCTTTGCATATGCCAAGAAGTTCACCAGCTCTCACATCCCACACCTTGGCTGTCTGATCTCCTGAAGCAGTGACCTTCAGAAGGAAAAATAAAAAGCTTTAGTCATTTTCTGTACACAGTCGCCAAAGCATTAAAAAAAAAGTCGGATGGTAAAAGACTGCTTACAATCCTGTGTTCCCCTGGCACCCAGGCAAGGTCAAATACAGCATTTGAGTGAGCCTGCCATTCTAACAAGAAAACAAAAGCCAAGATTAGTTCAGTGCATTGCAGGATGGTATTTTGCAGAAGACTAAATGACATCAG